CCTGATCCTGGTCACATGCTGAGCCCTGATCCTGGTCACATGCTGAGTCCTGATCCTGGTCACATGCTGAGTCCTAATCCTGGTCACATACAGCCCTAACCCTAGTCACATGCTAAGCCCTGAGCCAGAGCCTTATTCTCTCTTTACTGGCCCTTCTTCCTTTTCTTTCCAGAACTTTGTCCAGATCATCAGCAACCTGCTGGTGGAGGAGAATCGGGACAAGTGGGAGGAGGCCCAGCTGGTATGGACAGACCATAGTCAGGGGCCTTCAGGGTCATCAGGGGTTGGGTGTGAGCAGGTGCTAGCCCAGGGGGGCCTACTACGCCCTCTGTGTGACCTCAAGGAAGCCACTTAGCTGTTGAACTAGGGCTTCGTCTTCCCTCAATGATAGTTGCTTAGCTCATGGACACTGGTGGGGATTGCACACTGACACTGTTGTGTATGTGAGAGACCAGCACATGGTGGGTGACCTTTCTGATTGGGAAGAACTGTTTGCCTTCTGCCTCTCAGTCTGATTTTATACCCGCCACCACATGGCCCTGGCAGCTCCGTGGTGTCGGAGCTATTGTCTTCAGAGTGCTGAACATTCCCTCTTCCCCCTGTCCATAGAATAGTGGTGGACACTCAGAGATCACCAGCCCTGATCCCCACATCAGGCCTAGGGCTGGAGTGTGGGGAAGTGACCCGCAGGGTCCAGTAAAGACAGGAAGTCCAAGGGGCAGGGGAAGGACAGGTGTAGTCCTAATCAAACTTAAGTGGTCTTGACAATGATGCCTCCCTGACCACAACACTGCTCCCCAGGTGGGCCCCAATGCCAAAGGGCTGTTCCGGCTGGTGGAAGATTTTGTGGATGTCATTGGCTTCCGTATGAAGGACCTTCGAGACGCGTACCAGGTGACAGACAATCTGGGTAAGCCCGGTCCTCTCTCTGTTGACACCTCTCCCTGCCTGGATTGTGCTCTGCTTGCCTCAGTTTCCCCATAAATACAGAGGCAGGATCAGAGACCTTCCGGAGCCTCCCGGGGCAGTTTCCACAATCTGCTCTGTGTTTAAAACTACCTTGTCTGAGTCTGCCGATGGTGGTCCTGGGGAGAGGTCAGAGGGGACATCTCAGACCCCAGTCAGGCACTGAGACCTCACTTAGGCTCAGACCCAGGAACCCACAACCAGTTCTCTGGTATTCTAGAGACGGGAGTCTCACTCCTCCCCATCACCCTTGGAGATTTGAAAACAGTTAACTGAGCCTTTGTTCCATGTCTGTCTTCAAAGCTTGGGTCCTAGACATCAGCATGCCCAGCCCTCACCTCACAGGTGGGGAGACCCAGGCCCAGAGAGGGGCAAGCGCTATCTGGAGGTCATGCAGCTAGGGAGGTCAGCACCCTGGTCTCTGGGTGTGCCCTTTCCTGCCCTCCCTCACACACCTGACCTGACTCGTTACTGTGGGCTGCAGGAAGACAGGAGGGTTGTACAGTTGCATGGCATGTTCAGCAAGTCCCACAGTGCTGGGTCCCGGGGACACAGGTGGGCTGGCTCTTCTGGTCCCTCCACCCTCCACATTCTGTACCTGCCTCATCTGCTGTTCAGCCCTTCCTGGGCCCTCTTCCTGGTCTGTCCGCTGAGACCCTCCCTTGTATGCCAGACATCAGAAGCCCATCAGTGAAGCCTCCCATGGCCTTCTCCTCTCCTGCCTGTTCTCTTTCCTCAGACCCCTGCCTAGTGCAGCCAACTTGGGAGAGCGGTCTGGCTCTATCCTGAAGTCCTGTGACCCCTGCCTGGGGGTGATGTCATGGGGAGGTGTGACGGTGAAGCTGGCCCCTCCCAGGGTGGCCAGGATCTTCTCTCTAAGGAGGGACGATGAGAGACAGCCCATTTCAAGGGCAGAGCCTAACCGGGGGCATCTCAGGGGCCAGGCCCAGGAACAGGGTCCCTCTCCAAGGCCCCCTCCCCAGACCAGACATCTTCTCAGGACCATGGCTTGGGGTGGGTCTTGGCACCTTCTGATCAAGCTAGTGCCCAGCTCTAGGGTCTCTGCCTGGACTCTGACTAACCCACGCCTGCTGTCCTCATCCTTGACCTCCACGGCTCAGGGACACGATGTGGGAAGGGGAAGTTAAACCAGGGATCAAGGCCAGACTGCCAGCAGAGACTGGGGATACACTGGGACTCTGGCTCATCAGCAGAGCTGACACCAGCCCCAAACGCCCCTGTGTAACCCTTCTCCATCCCCCCATCTCTTCATCCTCTCTCTTTGTCTATCCATCTTCTCCTCCTTACCTGCCCCAGTCCTCAGCATCCACAAGCTGCCAGCTAGCAGGGCCACAGACATTAGCTTCCCCATGAAGGGCTGGCGGGCCACAGGTGACTGGGCCAAGGTGCCTGAAGACAGGGTCACTGTCTCCAAGAGTGTCTTCTCCACAGGGCTGGCAGGTAGGGACTCCAGCTATGGTGAGGCGGGGAGTAGGGCTGGCATGTGGGGGTATCAGCTGTGAAAGACAAGACTGACGGGGGTGGGGGTAGGGCTCCAGCCCCTCTAGAGCCAGCCTTATTTCTCTTCCATGTGCCCGAGGTCCCCGATCCCTCAAGGAGCAGGGCCTTTTGAGGAGACTCACAGGCTGTCTTTGCTGATGGGCAAAGGGGCCACCTTGTTACAGGGAGGAGAGGGATTTGCCCAGAGCCACAGCCAAGGAACCTGCATCACTTCTCTGGTGGAGGGTGACCCTCCAATGCTCTCTAGACCCTCACCTTACACAGGGGCCATGTGACTGGCCAGGGCAGACTGGCCTGGCCTGTGCAGGTCAGAGGGGATCCAGGTGGGCAGTGGGGAGGACCTGATGGCATCTCCCTTCCAGAGGCTGATGACTCGTCCGTTTTTGTGGTGGGGACAGTGCTCTACCGGAACCTGGGTAGCTTCCTGGCCCTGCAGAGGTGGGTGCCCGGGGTGCTGGGACTGGCGGAGGGAGGGGCAGCTGAGGGTTGGAAAGTGGCAGCCCTAACCATGGGGAGTGGGTGACAGGTGAGGTTCCCCTCGTGTGGGGATCCAGAGTTTCAGGTGGGCTTCCAGGAAGTACCTGGAGGAGGGGACCCCTGACAGACTCTGCCGCCCCCCACAGGAACACGACTGTCCTCAATTCCAAAGTCATCTCGGTGACGGTGAAGCCCCCGCCTCGCTCCCTGCTCACGCCCTTGGAGATTGAGTTCGCACACATGTACAATGTGAGTGTCCCATCTGCACACAGACCTGTCTGCACCCAGCACACGTGCACACGCGCACACATGCACACGCATGAACCTGCTCTGTCAGCCCGCGTGTGCTCACCCTGCTCTCACAGCAGCCCTAGGCAGGAAGGGAAACTGAGGCCTCGAGAGGCACGTGACTGCCTGGGGTCACACAGAGTCAGTGTGGGAACTGAGATCCAATCCACCCTGCTGAACTTTGAGCCCCATTCCCAGCCTGCAGACCCTCCCTGTCTCCCAGCCCGAGCCCTACCTCTCCCCTGTCCTTGGGGACCCCCGAGACTGGGAGGTGATGGGACGGCCTGACCAGACAGGGCTCCCGGGGTCCTAGTATTGAGGACATAGTTCCAGGCTACCCTTACACACACCCTAAACAACCCTACCTCCCTGGGTCGAGTTTGCACGTGTCCCCAAGTGGTTCCAAGGCAGCCACTAGAACTCAGGGGGTACATGTTTGGCATTCTTGCTCCCCAAGACCAGTTCCAACTGCCCCCTCCCCACCACACACCCCCTGCTCCAGGGGGCTGCCCACTAGGTAACTGTGGGAGAGCCCAGCTCAGTCTTTTCTGCTGTGTGACCCTGGGGGCTGGGCTCACCTCTGCCTGGCTCAGGTGGGGGCAGGGTGAGTATTCAGGCTTTTCACCCCGTGCTCAAAGCAGGTGCCCCAAAGGCCTAGCTGCTGGTGCTCTTGTCCCATGTGGGGCACAGGGACAGTGCCACCAAAGTCCCCCCACTCTCCATGGGGCCATCCTCTCAAAGACAGCTCATAGAACCAGAGGGTGTCTGAACCAGACAAGGGTGCTTCCTGCCACCTCAGGACTCCCTGGGGATCCTCCCCCATTGCCCGCTGATGCCCTGCCACCCTGTGGGAAAAGTTGGTTCAGAGAGGGGACAGGACTGCACCAGCCACTGGCAGCTGGAAAAGGGGCTGTCAAGCTAAGTCTGGGCCCCTTGCTCACTCTGAGGCATAGTACCCTTCTTGTCAAGCTTAGTAGCCTGAGATGGGACCCACAGGTCTCCTGGACTTAAGTGAGGTGACTCTGGGCCACTTCAGCCATGGTGGGGGACTGACAGGTGGGGGCTCCAGCCATGGGGGAGAGCTGGCAGGTGGGGGCTTCAGCCATAGTGGGGACTAGCAGATGGGGGCTTCAACCATAGGGGAAGAGCTGGCATTTGGTGGCTTCAGCCATAGTGGGGGACTGGTAGATGGGGGCTCCAGCCATGGGGGAAGGGCTGGCAGGTGAGACCTTGGTGGCTCTGACCTCTGCCCTCCTCTTTCCTAGGGCACTACCAACCAGACCTGCATCCTATGGGATGAGACAGACATGTAAGTTCACTGGTTTTGGGTTTGGGGAAGCTGACCCACAGGAGGGGGTTCAGGTTTTGGGCACCACCTCCCACACATCATCCTTTGCTCACATCTGCCTCCGTGGTTGCCTGGAATACACCAGCCTCGGCCCCACTCCGACCCATGGATGCTCACAGTTCAGGGCAGGAGATGGAGGACAGGAGATGGAGGACCTCCCCAGCCTGCCCCCAACCTGAGCAGAGAGGCAGTATCTGATGTTTGAAGGGAGATGGTCTGACCACAGTGAGCGGGCAGTTGTGGGGCCCACCATCTAGCACAGCTTGGACAAGCTGGGTGGGATCCTTGGCTCTGGAGATCCCGTGGTGTTTGAACAGAGGCCTGACAAGCTGAGCCTTGAGCATGTCGTGTCTGGGACAAGCATCTTGTCAGAGGGAACAGCCAGTGCAAAGGCCCTGAGGTGGCAGCGTTCAGGATCACGCCCCTGGACAGCAGATCCCCTTAACTGTTAATGCCTGGTCTTGAGTGTGTGGGCAGGGTCAGGACTGGGTACTGGACTGGGGATTGAGGAGGTAGACCCGTGGCAGGGAAATGGACACTCAGGCTTGGGTCATGCTGACTGTTTTGCTCTGGGTTTTTAAGTGGCACAAAATCTTTGTACAAATGTGAAAATGAAAAGAACCGGGAGAGAAAAGCAAGATGAAACTCCCAGCTCCAGCTGCTGGCCACAGCCCAGGCCAGCCCTCGGGACACATGGGACATCTTAATGCTTTGCACTTTCAGGGTGGTCAAAGTGTGGACTGCAGGTTAACTAGTTTCACCCATGTTATCACCACACAAAGAGTCCCTGCCCGGGCTGTTTAAAGGCTGCCTGCAGCTCCCAGGAGGCAGTCCCAGAAGGTGACACTTGCCCCCTAGAGTGGCCATCGTCCAGCTGAAAGCTCCAGATGGTGGTGCCTATGGTTGACCCCAACCAGGCAGCCTGAGGTCTGAGAGCAGGGTCAGAGGCCGACAGACAGAAAACTCATGACGTCCCATGCAGGTCTTCCTACAACTATGCTCCATAGGGTCTCCAATGACTGATTTTGGGGAAGATGTCGCCAGTCCTTTCTTCTGATGAACCTCCAGTAGACTGAGGCCTCCTGCCTTTTGGTTAGCAGACAAGTGCATTCAGTGTTGGCACCAGCATGGATCAACTCTGACTGGCCAATTCCATCTGTTCCACTTAACTCAGTGTTTGGTGCCGGGGCAGTGCCAGGGGTCAGTTTCCATCAGTGAATGAGGGAGTAGTCTATGCTGTCCTGGACATCCCAGAAGCCCACATGTCTGTGGAGGGATTGCATATACCTGGGAGAAGATTTGAGAGTGAGAACCATCGGTGACCATCAACTGAGAAATAGTGACCTCTTGGTTCCCTGACTGATCCAAAACTGGACTTGGACTTTACTCTCATCCTGCTCACACACTGAGTCCCAATCCTGAGCTTACACTGAGCCCTGATCATAGTCACAAACTGAGTTCCAATCCTATGCACATACTGAGTCCTAATCCTGGTAACACACTGAGACCCTATCTTGGTCACACACCAAGCCCCGACCCTGGTCACACTCTCAGCCCTGATCCTGTGTCTCAACTTGGATAACTTGCACATGTTCACACGTCATTACTCATGACATATGCTTGTAGGGCTGCCTCCTCCCTAAGCCACATGCGACACTCTACCCCATGACTCAGCCAATCTTGGAAAAAATGAGTCAGAAGCTTCCACCCACCACTGCAGACCCTTCAGCCTTTCCCATTGTGCACACACTTGCATGCATAGACTCACCTCCCACACTCGAGGTCTCTGCTAATGCTGTAAGCACTAGGAACTTCCTTCAGTGCCCCTTGCCCCAGACACCAAATCCCACCCTCTCTGGCCCAAATACCTCATCCCTCACCAGTCCAGCATCATGACTCAAGGACCCTTGTCCCCTGGACCAACCTGGCCAGGGGCAAAAAGTTTCCAGATGTTCCCAGCAGGAGGGCTTGCAAACACCTTAGAACATTCTGTGGGGAGGGAGCCATGGTGGTCTGTCAGTCAGGTCTGCACCCTAGAACCCAGCATTGCCCAGGGGTGGGCAGCCATGGCTGTATGTGAGGGAATGTTCACTGGCTACAGGATGGATTCATGGAGGGTGGTGCTGGATGAGTGGATGGATGTGTGGGTGATAGGCAATTGGTAGGTAGGGGATAGATGAACAAGTAATATGTGTAGTGGTTTCAGGATGGAGTATTCAACTGCCAGGGTGCAGAAGATACCACACAGTAGGTGGATTTGAACAACAGAAATGTATCTTCACAGTTATGGAGACTAGAAGTCTGAATTCAGGGTGTTGACCAGGCCCTGCTCTCTCTGAAGGCTCTAGGGAAACAACCTTCCTTGTCAATGTCTACCCTTGGCTTGGATGCATCACTTGTGTCTCTGCTGCTACTGTCCCATGCCATTCCCTTCCCTCTGTGTCTCTTCTCCTCTTCATACAGGAGCAGAGACCACCCTATTCTATTGTGACCTCATAATAAGGAAAAATACCCTGTTTCCAAACAAGGTCACATTAATTCACAAGTACCAGGGTTGGAACTTAAATGCATATTGTGGAAGGTCATAATATACCCTGCAACACATTTATAGATGGATACATGGGTGTGTTGGTAGATTGTGCATAGGTGGGTGAGTGGATGGCTAGAGATGAGTGGATAGATAGATGAATGATCAGGTGAAAAGAGGGAAGAGGTGAGAGACTGGTTGGACCAATGGAAGAAGAGACAGATGAGTCAGTGGGTGGATAGATGGATGGAAATAAATGTACAGGTAGATGTAGATGAATGATGGATGGAGAGAAGATGGATGGATAGATGGATGATGGAGGGAAGGGGGAGTGGTGGATGGTGGATAGATGGGTGAGTGGATGGACAGATGGAGATGGATAGGTGGATGGATAGATGGAGATGAATGGAGGGAGGAGGAGTGTATGGATAGGGATAGGTGGATGGATGGAGATGAATATATGGGTAGATATAGATGGATGATGGAGGGAGGATGGATGGATGAGTCTATCGATAAAAGGATAGTGGCTGGGTGGATGGATGGCTGGATGGCTGGCTGGCTGGCTGGCTGGCTGGCTGGATGGATGGATGGATGGATGGAAGGGTGCGAGGATGGATGGATGAATAGGTTGATGAATGGATGGCAGATGAATGGATGGATGGACGGGTGTGAGGATGGATGGATGAATAGGTGGATGAATGGATGGTAGATGGATGGATAGATGGATGGACGGGTGTGAGGATGGATGGATGGATGAATAGATGGATGGTGGATGGGTGGATGGATGGTGGACGGATGAAATATAGATGGACGGCTAGATGGATGGATGATAGGGTTGCTGGAAAGCCAGGAACACAAGCCTGGAGTTAAGCTCCATGGTACTGATAGGACAGCTCCTTGTGTCTTTCATTCTTGTTGAGTGCCGTCGAGGCGGTTCCGACCCATAGCGACCCTATATAGGGTTCCCGAGGAGTGACTGGTAAACTTGAACTGCCAACATTGCAGTTCGAATTGGGAGGTTGCAAAATGTACCTCTTGTTTCCTTGATTATTTTAAATAAGTAATAGGGATTTCCTAGAGTATGAAAGACATAGCAGTGTCCCCACGGGTCATCTGCTCTACCCTCATTTGAAAAGTGGTATTGCTAGGCTAAGTGAGCAAGTGGTCCCCGTAAGGCCTCCCAGCTTCCCCAAGGGCGCTGGTCCTAGAGTGTGTGACCTAGCCCCAGCCCCACAAGGGCACAGGGACAGCATTCTGTGCTCCCAGTCTGTGTTCGCTGTAAGGACCCTGAGAAGTCCTGCAGTGGACTCCTATTCCACCAGGTGAGGCGTCCTGTCCCCAAGCCCGTAGGGTCCTCTCCTGAACCTTCATTGTTGTTAAGTGCCATTGAGTTGTTTCTGACTCATAGCGACCCTGTATGGGTTTCCAAGGAGTGGCTAGTGAGCTTGAACTGCCGACCTTGTGGTTCACAGCCCAGTGCTTATCCACAGCATCACACCCGGAGTCCAGAACAGAAAGGCTGTATGACCAGGGTATGGGTGTGACATTCCTCACACTCGCTCACTACAAAGCTGTTCCACGTGGTCACCTTTATCAGCTTATTCTACTTGGGGAGCAGCTGAGGCACAGGGTCCCCCAGTCTGAGCTGGACCTTCTCTCCCCACCCCCCAGCTCAGAGCCCAGGCAGGTGAGAGGGACGCTTAGGATCCAGGTTTGTTCTCCACTCTCACATCCTGGTCCGAGTCAGTTCTGGTCCCTTTAAGAGCCTCCCCCCTGTCCCCACTGCACAGTTTCCTAGGAGAGAGCATCAAGGAGCGAGGCTGAAGGGGGCCAGCGGAAGCCAGACTTGGCAGGGTCCCCAGGTCGCTGCCAGCGGCCGGTTCCCAGCTCAGTTTCTCCCACGCCAGCCAGCCTTCCTGATGGGGGAAGAGGGGGTGTGGCAGGGGAACACCGGGGGTGGGGGGGAGGTGGGGGGGGCTAAAAAGGCAAGAAGTGACTGGCTTACAAGCTTTCAAGAGAGAACCTAGGAGAAGAGGGCCTGGATGGGGGGGAGGTGGGGGAAGGGAAGGGGAGGAGGTGGGGACCTGTCCCACACAGAAGCCTCTTTGGTGCCTGGAAAGACCTTGGGACCCACACCAGTGAGTGAGCCTGTGAGGGGAAGGAAATCTGAGGACCTAGCTGGGGCTGGGGGAGGGGTGGAGCAGTCCCCCATCCTAGCTTCTGTTCTCGGCAGCCTTGGATGCAGCCCCCTCTCACTGTCCCTCTTCTTTTCTCCTGCTGGGCCCTGGGGGATGGGTAGCCAGGGTGCAGGGCCCCTGTGGACCTCCTCCTGCGGTTTCCTCATCCCAGAATGACTTTGGGGGAGGGCTGGAGGGATGAGGTCTTAAGGTCAGGGTGCTCTGAATGGGGATGGCAGGACATCTTCCTGCAGCCC